TATATAAGTTAAAAGAAAAAAAAAGTTTGCTTTTTAGAAATGATTTTTGATTAAAATCTCATTAATGCCCAAAGAATTTATTATATTTATTAAAAGGAAAATATATTCATTAAAAATAATGTAATTTTTTACAAAATATAATTCAGATTATATTCTTCATCATTCCAATTGATATCATAAATATTTTCTGGCATATTCAATCCAATCAAGTGATCATTATGGACATTATCAATATCAATATTATTTAGATTACTTAATATTTGTTTGTTTATCTGATAAACAGATAATTAACATACATATTAACTTGTATATGTTACTATTTTTGTCTTTAAAACTAATATGATCACTGAGAAATTGGCTCCAATTAACAACATTAAATATATTTTTTCCTTGTGCTTTACATTCTTTTAGATAAATCACTAGTTGGACTTTTGCATCAAACCACTCATCCTGTAAAGAATTTTTATTGATCATAAATATTGCCATATAAACTTATTTGCAGATCATCATAGTTGTAGCAATCCTCAGTAAATAATTCCAATGTTAAGAGTTCAATATCTGTCTTATTATGAATATTATTGAAAATTGGTGAAGACACAAAAAACATTGAAAGATTTTACATGCAAGAATAATTGCCTATTACTAAAAATGCTAAAAAACATTTTACAATTTACGAATTATTATTATTCCTGTTTTTTGGATCATACCATTGATTTAGAAAAGCATTATGTGTTTAATTAATTATTTATTTGTTATTACTAATGCTAAAAAACATTTTTTACTATGATTATCATATGTCCGTTTTTGGATCATTGATTTGTTTACTTTTAAAGAAAAGTATTATGCATTTACAATTGAATTTATTATTCAGTTACTTCTTAATTAATTGACAATTGAATTGATTATTCTTACTAAAAATCAAGTGTTATGTGTTTAATTAAATTGATAATTGAATTGATTATTTGTTTATTACTAAAATGCTTTGATCACGTCTATACATTCATTTTGCAAAGCTGGATTGCAAGCTT